TGTTGGAAGTGTTGAAAATCATTTTCCCAAATGCTAACCCCACCAAAATCATTGTTGATTTTAAAATAGCAGCTATCAATGCATTCCATGCACAATTTCCTCTGGCCGATATTAAAGGATGTTATTTTCACCTGTCACAAGCTATAATTCGAAATGTTGGTTCTATCGGATTAAAAGAGAAGTTTGATTGTTTACCCTCTTTCAGTCTGAAAATTAGGAGTTTGGCAGCTCTGGCTTTTGTTCCCATTAACGAGGTTGCCGAAGTCTTCACCTTGCTTTGCGACACCTTCGACGATTCGCCCGAATGCAATCAACTTTTGCAATATTTTGAATCTACCTACATTCGTGGACCTCAAGTGGGTTCACGTCCAAGAGAAGCAAGATTTCCCCCTCGATTGTGGAACTATGCCAAAGAGATTGAAATCATGCCTTCGGCCCCAAGAACAACAAACGCTGTAGAAGGATTTCACAACGCCTTACAAGGAATGTTCCGTTGCAAACATCCGAGTATATGGGGTTTGCTGAATGGCCTACGAAAAGACATTGCGGTCCACAAACTGACTGCGGCAAATGCTCATGTAGGAGTTACGGCCCACCAAAGTACGGCCCACCAAGTATGTACAACTTGCTGTTAGGTTGTCATTTAAAGTTTTTTCATATGGAACTGAAACCGACAAACCTTAGGTATCTCCACTCAATAGCTCAAATGCAGTCTATTTGATTTTGACTTTGATCGTGATATCGTAAAATTTCGTTTATCGTCATTATTTTGATTTGTTGTTTAACTATTGTATCATAATTGATAAATTCCTATTTGTAAAACGTCAATAGCTACTCTATCTCAAAATTGATCACCCTTTCGACACAAATTTGTGAGTGATAACTTTATTGATATATTAAAATAAATGTAATCCGTAACCTATGACGTCGTTTGTAAATTGCAATATCATATTTAACAGACCTGACCTGATATGCTGAATATGTTCGATTTACTCTAAATAGTGTAAACAGCAAAAACCATTTTTGGCCACGATAATGATTTTAAAACTTCTTCACTTTCGAATATTCAACATATTTACATGACTTACGATTTCTATGTATAGTTTTGTTCTGACATTCTAATGAAACAATACTTCAATAAAACTGGCATTTGGCTATGAACATGTTGTTACAAAAATGGCATAGTTTCATTATCTTAATTTCATATTTTCTTAGAAACGAAGAATCTGTGCGTTTATTTATTTATATACAGACAATAGTATTCAATTTATAGATTGATTTTAGGAAAAATGGCAAAACCTGATTTGAGACAACACTCATTTTCAACAGTAAAGCGTGGTCGTGTATGCATACATATAACAATTTTGTAAACATGCTAGCAAGAAAACATGAAGTGGCCACAGAGCTCCCAAATCTCATGCTGGGCGGGATATCATAGTAGGCGTTTTCGGTGCAATAATTTCAGAACAAATTTATAGGAGTTGACCACTAAAAATATTACTGTAAAGCTAGTTTTAGTAAGACCCTCATTTAAGACTTCATTGGTCTGTGAGATATTTGTTCCGTAATAGCCCTGGTTTCAGGTATTCCAACGAAATACGTCATCGTCTGTTTTGGAGATCGCGGCTAACGAATGAGATAAGGATTTACAAATGTCAAAAAAAAGCAAAAGAAAAAAGACCTTAGTTACCTTGGCATATACACCAAAACTAACTACAAGGGAAACAGTGTTGAAATTTAGAATATTGAGCTTGCGCCTGTAACATGAAAGTTATTTGCGACTGGAAATTGCCGTTGGGGCAAACATTTTTTGTGAAAATGTACGTGGGTTCAAATGTACGCGGGTTCAAATGTACGCGAGTTCAAATATAATATACGTTGGTTCAAATGTCCGTGGGTTCAAATGTACGCGGGTTCAAATATACGTGGGTTCAAATGTCCGCGGGTGCAAATGTTCGTGGGTTCAAATGTACATGGGTGCAAATGTCCAGGGTGCAAATGTACATGGGTTCAAATGTCTGCAGGTGCAAATGTACATGGGTTTAAATGTACGCGGGTGCAAACGTACACGGGTTCAAATGTCCGCGGGTGCAAATGTACATGGGTTCAAATGTACGCGGGTGCAAACGTACACGGGTTCAAATGTCCGCGGGTTCAATCTATATGCGGGTGCTAAAATCTATGGGTGGAAATGTATGGGTTCAAATGTCCGTGGGTGCAAATGTCCATAGGTGCAATAGTATACAGGTGCAATTGTTCTGGGTTCAAATTACGGGTTCAGATGTACGGGTTCAAATGTACGCGGGTTCAAAGATAATGGAACCCAAATATTCACACTTGTGTAGGGCGATACTGGTACGTTGCTCGTTTTAAAGGCCTTCGAATGGCATTTCACTGGTGATGGCGGTATTTTCGTGCTTCTAAAATTATACCATATTGTCAAGTGATCTATAATTAACGATATTCCGCCTTCACATTGCCGTTACAGTACCTAACTTAGTTTCAAAAGCTTATTTAACATACAAAAATGGAATCACTCAGAGATGCTTTTTCTATGACTTGGTTCTCCAAGAACTTTTATTTCCACCAGCTGGAGAAGGATACAAAGCTTTTCATTGAAAGGTGATATTTAAACATATATGGTTGAAGAATGTCAGAGGACTGGGAGACCTGCGTGATTACCGGTACTGTATCCCATGGTTCATAGACTAATAGATAGCGACCAAGTTAGGACTGAATTGGTGGGTTTAGTATAGAAACAAAGGAAATGTAGGGGCAGTTCAAAAAGTCTTTTAAATACATTCTTGGAAACATTGCACAAACTACAGCAATCTGTAATTATGAACAGATGAATATTTTTTTCAGATACATTCATGATGGTTCAGTCGTCAATCCTAGAAGTAGTTTTTTGTTTCAATGTGTGTGATAAACTTTATATATTACACTTTGATAAGAAAATATAAAATCGGGTGCCTCTTGAACGGAAGGACTTTTTATTAATATTTGAAAAATTACCACTTTTTCGTTTTACGTAATTTTGATGAATATGGGCATATTCAACATGGGATATTTATGAACAATTAGTTGCAAACTATTTGTTATGCTTATTTTACCAAGCAATTCATGCTTTTGCTTTGTAAATGGTAATTTTAGTTTTATATGATAAATATCATTCCTTTTTTATTATGTTAATTTCACCTGTCTACATTTTTTCAGGAGTAAATTATGACACGCCTACAATTCTGCCAATAATTTTAACCTTTTCGCTTCGCCGCACACAAAGGTCAAATTCTACTAGCTTCACAGCGGTGAGTTACACGGGAATGGTCAAACTACGATTCCAACAGCAGTTGTTTTTTAATAGGCGTATTACAACAATTAGTTTAATTGTGACGTAATAATGGACGACTGCATGATGAAGTGAATATAGGTGTATCTTCGACATAAAAGAAGAATGCACGATGAATCATTACATGTTTGATGGAAAATGATGATTTGTAGTGATAAACTTATTCTTTACTTAAAATACCCAAGGGATAAAGAGCCGCATGAGACCGGTTCAAGAGCCGCATGCTTTTCTGAAATTATTTTCAATCGAACAAATCCTTTCCACACTTCAATCTAGAGCAGGGGTCGGGAACCTTTTTGGTCAAGAGAGCCCTAAAATATACATATTTTCAATTGCATTTCCGTGCGAGCCATATAACATTTCTTCACTTAATCAGGCCTGAAACGTTTACTCAAAACTCAACACATTCTATGTCAATATACATTTAATGTGACTTCTGATGCTGCATGTTGTCGCTGCGGGCCTTGAACGGTTGCTCACATGCAGCCCAAGTTGAAATATACGATATTTCTCCGTAGTATTTTAAAACTCTATCGCTTTGTGATGTCACAATATATGTTCCAGAATCCCCATGTTTTGTCACAATGCCTGTCTGGTAATTCTCTTACATAACATAGACATGCGCTGGGCCCGCGTTGTCAAACGCATTGGGAATTTTTTGCCAAATTTGATCATAAAATAGTTTGAAGTCTAGTAAGAATAGTAAGCTTAATCTTAGAATAATACATTTTTCTGAGAGCCATATGCCGTCACCAAAAGAGCCATATATGGCTCGCGAGCCATGGGTTCCCGACCCCTGATCTAGAGGTCCCTCGTTCATAGAAATATACGGCATTATTCATAAGAAATACTCATGACAATGGGTATATGTACAATTAGCCTACTGGATCTTTGGACTAGGACTAAAATGAATAATATCATGCAAAGATTAGAAATTGTATTAAGGCATTGGGCTTATAAAATCATCTTCCACATACATTTACTATTAACACACAATAATGAGTTTTGACTTCAAAATCAAATAATCAAGAATGATTCAGAACATAAAACCACAAGTTAGAGCTATTACATATTTGCCAATCAATTGATGAGAAATTTACATATGAAACCCTATTTTTATGAATAATTCAGATCAAATCGCAATAGAAGCTATTTGGCGGTAAAATATCACACACACTCATGCTACTTCTATGGATTAAAATAAGAATAATAATATGCAGATTTTTTGCGCAAATACTATATTCAATCATAATTACAACAATCTATGCTACAAGCAACTTGAAAATGATAATCAGTATACATTTTTTTACATCTTTGTGATAATTTTAGGTATCAGACAAGTGCGCTTGAACAAATCTATTATGTGACAATAGCAAATTTCTTCAGGCATTTTATCGTACCAACGAGCGTTCTTTTGAATGTCTTCATCTAAGAAGTCAAAGTCAGGGAATATATCAAGGAGGCTGTACAGGAAAAAATAAATATTTTCATGTTATGTTGTTGATATAATTAAATCAAAGAGAAATTAAATTTGGGAAATAAAAAAATTTGGTAAAAGAATGGAGCCAATAGATTTAAAATTAACCATGATCAGATGGAGCATGTTTCTTTGCCATCACATTGTTTATTATTCAAAGTCATATCACCAATAAAAGGGACGAAATGCACTACCTGACCAATCAAAATCTTGTAGTCAGAACTCATATGTCACTATATCTCATATAAGGAGTCAACTCTCATTTACAAAATGTAGTTTTGAGCCAATGTTATGAAAGTTTCATAGTAGACTAAAGCTAAAAATAGACAGACGGCGGTTTGTCTTGTTAGAAAGTAGAAAAAGTAAAGACAGATGGTGAAATTTAGTTTCAGCCACCCAAAATAAACATCACCCGATAACTTGACACTGTCAGTCGGTTTACAGGCCCAGCTTCCTGTATTTGATACTCATATTAATAACATTATACTGTTCATACCTCCAATCCGAATGAAAGTTGAATGGTTTTGTTATGAGTATCTCATTGAGTCTCTGCTGTAGTTCTTCAGCTTTAATTTCAGAGAAATACCTTTCAAGACGACGTACAAGATTATCTGGAATCTTTTGTTGCCCTAGAAAACAGAGCTATTTTATTTCATCTGCCAAATTAGCAATAATACCTTTGTGTAAGTTTAGGATGCTTATGCGCTGTTTATTACTCTTGTGACATTTTGTGATCCTCAGCTTTGTTCAGTTATATTTGAATGGTTAAATATATATTCAAATTTTTGTTTCTTCAAAAATTCAGACAACAAGTGTGGCAGACATGGTGACTCCCACAGTCCATCACAACCCTTCATCGATTTTTATGAATCTAACGTATGTTATTTCATTGTCTAACTTTTTATTTTAAAGCCTTTATATGCTTTTGAATCTTTTCATGCATTGATTCTTGCTTGCATTACGGAAATGAATGTCAGAAAGGACAACACAGTAAATTTATTGACTTGCTTTTAGTTTTCATCAGTTTATTGAAATAATTGATTGATACTTTACCTTCTTCGACGACATAGGGATTCAGTCCTCTCTGAGCAAACATCACAGACTTGTGCCAAGTGAGACGTTGATATAAAGCTAATGTTTGCTCGATCTGAATGGACTTTGGAATAACGGAAACGCTCTCACTATCCACAAGCAAAGTGTTTGTCATGTAGTCCCTCAAGCTGTTTTCAGCTTGGGATGATGTCTAGAAAACCAATCAAAAAAAAAAAGAATGACATAGAAAGGAAGAACATAACAATTAAGAAATGTCGAAAAATTGATATGAGAAGAGCCTTTCATAAAACTTAAGCTGGGTGCAGAGAATTTGGTATCTTAGCCATCTACATAAACAACCCTGTCTCGACAATGAGCTGGCAAGGAGGCCAACCATTTTAAAAAAAAATTAAAAAGCTCATCTTGGCTTAGACAGCTTAATTATCAATGCTATCAATGAATTGCTTCTGTCACGAATAACACTTCAATAACGGCTTGTTTAAAACAGGGCCAAGTTTTCAGATGTTTTCATCATGTGTCAACATGTACTTATACTATGTTTGTGAACATTTTTAGGTTTTTTTTCATCTGGGCCAAATATACAGCAAGCAATTCCATCACTTCTAATTTACTTAATCACAAACCTTGGACAAAAAGCTTATTGCATGTGATAACGTACGTACTCCATCACACAGATGAGCCGGGGTCGAAGCAGATACATTGGCATCAATGCTTGTTTCATCTTTTGTTGAAAGTAATTTCTGAAACGTATTGGAGTATTAAACATTGTATAAAATTGTAGCAAACTTGCATATTAATCGAATGAAACAAGCAACTTTCAGAAAGAGCCTAAACAATTCAATCAGTTGAAATAGTTTCTTAGTGTAAATTGGTGTGGAAGATAACTAAGCTATTACTCTTTTGATCATAAATGTTAGAAAAAAATTAATTTTGTGATCACGAGATCACAATTAAAATCAGTTTTACCTATTTTTCCGCCTACGTAGAAGATATGCCAATCAAGATGAGGCATGTTGTGTGAAAGGATTATGGGTGGAATCTAATCTAACACAGTTAGAACTAGTTTTCCTGTCGATGTGGGAGAAATTTCAATCAATATGACCAATGCGAGTGAAGGATATTGGCTAGTGACTCTCTCAAATGTGGCATCAAATAAATTTCTGCCTAGGGCATTGAAAACTGATCTAAATAACCACTAACTAAATTTATTGGTCAAGACAAAATAAACCAAGAACTTTGCTGCCTTGTATCATATCTCGCCTATGAGTTGCTTCAGATAATTAATATATTAGGGTGATTTCTACCCATGTCATACATATCGATCCGACCGTCGTCGGTGCGTCAGTGTCTGCTTGAAAAGACTGGAGAATTCTACGCGCTGTATGTTTCGGTATTTGTATCGCGTAATATCAACATGAGCAAAGCCCATACACTGGAATTAAATAAGTTTATGGATGAAAGATTGGATTTAAAGTTAAATGGTGGACGATCTGTTACGGGTATATTGCGAGGTTTCGATCCTTTTATGAAACTAGTTGTGGATGATGGAACAGAGCACAGAAAAGATGGGACCACTGCACCTGTTGGAATGGTGGTCGTTCGTGGAAATTCGATATTAACGTTAGAAGCATTGGAACGAATACAATGATTTTAAATTGAACTAATTGAAAATGACAAAAGAACCCGATACCCCAATCCATGACTTGTGCATAGACGGTAGAAGTTTATTGCATTCAATTATCCACTTCAATTTGCTGTTTTTGTTAAATTGCTCTCAAAGCACTGCCCGATTGTAAATCGTGTTTTTCTGTGTTTGTTTTATTTTTTTAGTGGGCGGGCACGTACATTGTACGCTTTTTAACTTATTTAAAGTTATGCTCGTCTCCCAGGTATCTCTGCATTTGGTTTTGTCTGTTTACTTTTTGTATCGTTCATGTCAGAGAACCAAAATAAATAATTGATGATTGATTGAATCGAATAATGTCTCAACAAGAGTTTGAAAAGTTAGAATAGAAAATGTTTTTACTTGTTTTATTCTGGTCTTCAATTCAGACATATCTTCTGAAATACCAACATCCTGTGGGTACTGAATGCAAGGTATTGTCTGTAAAAAAGGAAAAAGTTCTATAAGATTTAGGGTTACTGGAAGAGATCTAGGATATTGAATTCGAGGAGACAAAAATTCTTGGTTTGTACATGCAAAAACACAAAGCAAATGGAAATCAAAAACAAACACTTCAAAATGGGGAAAAAAGGCGCTCTAAGCGAACTTGCTTTTGAAAAAGGAGAAATCTGAAAATTAAAACATAAAATTCGACCAATCCAATTTCTGTTAAGGATTGCTTTACATAGCTGGTCATTTACAATGAATTGAAAATCATGTTTCTAAAGCTAGGGTCAGGATAAGAGAAGGTCAAGAACTAATATTTTGGTTCAAAGACTAAACTAACATATGGCAATACAATGAAGCTGAAACATTCATGATTATATGCCAATGGCATATCTAGGCTAAGGCAGCCATCGCTCATGCCATGATCGCTGTTTAGATTGGGGCACAAATGTTTCAATCAAATAATTTCAAATTGGAAATGATTGAAACTCTTAGTTTATCGTACAAGGATCTCATTTCAAAGACAACCAGGTGAAAAATTGTCAACTAACAACCAAGAGGGCACATTTTTAAACTTGCTAAAGATGCCATGTTACGTTACATTTTATGCAGCTGCTCCATGCATTGCTTTTTTCGTAATATACTGGTAGGTGAAATGATTAGCCCAAATACAAAAAATTACAAGAATAGGTCTAAAAAAATCTGAATCAATCTTTTCATTTTCAAATTAGAAACGTTGGCTAATTTTATCATATGAAGAAAAACAGTATTTTTTCGAAAAATACACACAGAATAAATTAATTTCGAAATGCTGCAAAATTTCATATTCTTTTGACTTTTAGAGGCATTGCCATGTGAACTATCGTTACTATCGTGAACTAAAAAATTCTGCTAAATATTTCTCATTTTGTTGGGCAATAAATTCCTTTTCAATTAGGGTACACTGTACGACTATATGACAATTATGATTATAACATATGTTTGTGCCTTTTACCTCGACTGATATTCTTTTCTTGTGTTTGACATGTTTTTCTTGTATCTAAATTCAGATGAATTTTAGGTTGTTAAGTGTTTATCTGAAGCACTACCATAGTCATAGAAATTTATCACATTTCAATGTATAGGACTGATATGGTAACTAACTTCAAATAAGCATCTCGAAAAATGATAATATGGAACAGAGGGCTTTTGGAATGTGTAAAAAAAATTTCAAATATAAGTTTAAGTCTAATTTTAAAGTACTGAGTCCTATTTCACCCAGAACTACTCACAAGATATATTTTTTATTTGCTGTATCTACTATATCAAGACAGCTCATTTTTCAAATATCTATTGAGTAATCAAGTATACTCACCAATCGTTCCAGTGCGTTAACGTTGTATTTTATAACATGTATAGCTCCACAGCCTGCATCATATTTTATGTCATATTTAACATGCATACTGATTAATTCATTCAAATCGTTTTCTCTGTCGACTTGAATCATATGAGAATCTTTCACGTCTGAGACAGAGATCTCATCACAACTGTAAAATTTTATTAGTGCCAGCTAACCAATGTATGATGGAAAAGTTTAAATCTGCAACTAAATACTAGTGAACTGATATTAATAAATAAATTGAATATAGAAAATGTTGCTTGTGATAAACACTTTGGCTTTATAGTGTTTCTTCTATTGTTATTCAAATTGAAATATATGGCTGAACACTTTCATACATATGCATTTTATTAGAGATATTTTACACCGAGAAGCCACCTGCTAGACAATAATCATTTTCAAATCCATCTATGAAAATTAGTAGCAATGAATACCTCAGTTCTGATACAGCTTGGTTGCATTTAGTAAGGAAATCATTGTGAATGTCTAGAAGTCGTCTGCATAACAATTTTGCAAATTTTCCGTTTCCTCTTTTTGCAGGAATTGCTACTGATATCGGAGAATTCCAAGTTAATAATGTTGAAGCATTAACCTGCATCAAAAGTGAATGCAATAGTTCATATAAATCTGATAGCGTTTTTTTCCATTAGACACCTGAACGAGACCCTCCGAATGACCATATCAAGCCAAGATCAAATCAGGTATTGTAAAGGTCTTTCAGCGACAATCGCCGGGAAAATTCATCCCTCATTTAAGCTCATGATCTGCCCCATGATCTACTGAGCAATATACGACAATAAACCAAAAATTAAATTGCTCCTTTGACATTTGAATTGAATTAGCATTAACAAAAACCTAACAACACTTAATGGGAATTCACTTTGCCAGCAGGAAACTCAAGAAGCATCCATATTCAGTAGAGCCAAAGACATGGCTTTTAAAATAAGTATCTTTGTTATCCTATGAATGAATACAGTATCATCTGCATATAAGACCAAATTACAAATAAGGTTCAGAAGCCAATTCAAAATCCTAAAAAAAACCACCATCAAGTGATGTAAATCCAACATGCAACCTTGCTCAAAGCGAAGTGTTATTTTGATGATGCTACGACTTACACCTCATACAATTAAAAAATGTTGAAGCGTATTTCAACATTTGAGCACAAATAAAACTATTAGATTAGACGTTATGTTCGATCTCAGTAAATGGTCAACCCATGGATATGAGGAGTCAATAAACTGAAGCATTGAAAGCAAAAATAATTCAGAGCAAAACTTACCAATTTCCATGCTTTGAAGTAACTTTCAATATGGAATCGAATCAATGAGTTATTATTCATACTTTCGAAAAATTGATGCAAAGTTATTGAATCGGCATCATTCATGTCGATGTTATACTGATATCTGCAAAAAAGTGTTTGGAAAGATTTTGTTTAAAATGCAAAAGATAGCAGTGTTTTGCATTTCTTTAATTTAATGGTTTTTATACACAAACTGGAGTTACTTTGAAATATGGCATCCAATCCCAAATAACTGGGATACGATTGAAGAGTTTATTATAAGTATGTACGGTAAACTAAATGATGTTGTCAATGAACACCAGAGAGCGCTCATTGTGAGTTGTTTTAAAGATTCGGATAACAATATTCTAAATCAGGGGTTGTACACCATTTATTGCAAACAGGTGAATTAACATACTTGTCAATTAGAGTCCTTTGCAAATCGAGTACTGGCTTCAAAAGATGCAATGCATCAAGTTGTGGAGTATCCAATATTAGCTTCAAAACCTCTGTGAATATGGAGGCAGAGAAACAATAAATACTATATAGCACAGGGTTGAGAAATCCCTGGTACGCGTGCCCAATTTATTCGGCACGCGAGCGAGGCCTCGGAAACGAGATCATTCTTTTTCAGATAAAAAGTTCCAAGACTTTGAATTATTTGATGAAACTAGGAGTTCGTTTATTCATTATCGTTTGTTAACAATCCGTCATTTATTTGAACTATTTTTGTCCTTTCATGACATATGACTACAAAGAAATATATTATAATTTAACAAGTGACTCAGTTCTCACGAATTTTGCCGAGAAGAGTGCAGCATTTATTTGGCTACATTTCACTAAATCTATTTGTCGGACTGATATTTTCCCGAATAGTGAATCTGTCTGTACATGTTTAAAAGGTTTACTATTTGGTATTTTTGCTTTGAAAGGAGCAAAGCATTGTTTTTAATTTTGGTCGGCACCAGGAAGAAATTTGTCGTTAAATTTAGCCTATTTTAGCACGCGATCCGAAGACGGTTGCCCACCCCTGACATAGGATATCCAAAACAAATTAATTATTTGATCAGATTAAAAGTCATTTATATTTGGTGAAAAAGTTTTAGATATTAAAAATATAAAAATAATTTAACATTTTCATTTGAAAATTCTGGGTTTGTAAATTTTAGTGTTAAAAAGGTAACAGCAATCATTTTGAACAGCCCACTAACTGGAACGTTGAAATAACTTGTACAATTAATCAGTTGTTAAAGCGCCGCTAGTCTAGCTGACTTTGATATCTTAATACTGTATTAGCATCAGCATATCGTTGCATATCGTCGATTTCGCCATGCAACGTTTTATAGCCAGTCAGTCAATCTACACTTAATAAGTGGCAAAAGTACAAGGAATTCGTTCAGCTTCCATAGACACCAGCATCCTGCAAAAACTGGACACCATTCAAATGAAACAGAAATCTCTAGAAGATAGATTTCTGACAGAGGCAAGTCAATCTCCTAAATCAAAGCGAAGAAGCGAAGCATATCCTACGTCATCTACTAAAGCAATTGGCATTCGAAATTAATTTAATAAAATCGTTAGTTGAGGAAATTAATAGAAGATCCATAGAAAATGAGATAATAATAGACAACCTCGAGCAATACGGTAAACAGAACTGCCTTATTCTCCGCGGATGTAAGAACATTCCGTCGTCTAAACCGTATCAGAGATTTGAGATGTTAGTAGCGAGGACTTTGAATACAAGTCTGAAACTCAAATACCCGGTTCAGTTTGGAGATATTGATACAACACATATTCTACCAAAGGACTCCAAAGGAAATGTACCGATCATTGGTAAATTTGTTCGTCGAAGAGTAAATCACCAAATTCATGCTACTAAAAAAGACTCCGCGGAACCGGCCTTTCCATCACCGAAACTCTAACTGAACGCCGCCGCATCTTATTGACTGAAGCCCGGAAACGATTATCTTTCGACAATGTATGGACGAAGAACGGCGAGATATATGGAGCACACAATGGCGAAAGGCGAGTAGGTATTTAAATTAATTGATGATATAGTAAAATGAAACTAAGTCTTAAATTAGTGCAACGATATAGATGTTTAACATAGGAATTGTGTCAGCTAGATATAATATGCGCATAACTAGTAATCCCATAAGCGTACTAGCATCGTAGTACACCGGTTAAATAGTTTATTAGAAAGTATTAATTAATGACTAGAAAAAAATATATAAATGCTTTATCATGCCATGGTTGTAGTAAAATTGTTGAAGATAACGAATACAGTATTTTTTGCGACCACTGTTTACATTGGATCCATTTAAAATGCAGTGGGTTATCCCAAAGTGAATACAAGAGTTTAGAAAAGGAACCCGACTGTGTTCCTTGGTGCTTTAGATACTGTCCTAATAGCAACCTGCCCTTCTGGCAGTTATCAAGATTAGAAATGATTAATTTATTTAAAAGAACTCCTATTCTAAGTGGGGTAAGCACCCTAGACCCATCAGCTTTGAGTGACCTCTTTATCTCTGATATCATTGACGACGACCAGGACGAAATAGCCTCAGGTCTATGCAATTGTCAATATATAAGTACAAACGATATTGAACAGATTTCTCCAAGATCAAAGCGAAATGGTTAACTTATCACAATTTGCGCAAATATGCGTTCACTTGCAAACACAAAAAATTTTGCCGAACTGGAAGTTTTATTAGAATCAATGACTAGTCGACCCGATATAATTGCGCTTAACGAAACTTGGCTTAGACCCGACCAAGTTGGCGCACATATAAATTTACGCGATTACAGATTCATTTCAAATGCAAGAAGAAACCATAAAGGTGGTGGAGTAGGCTTGTATATTGGAGATGGTATTACCTTTGTTTAAAACAGACCGGAATTGTCCACAATGGAATAGAAAACGTTCGAATCAATATTTGTTGACGTTTATCTCAAAGACCGAATTGTAACCTGTGGTACTATTTACCGATCCCCACTGTCTGATAATTCTAGAAATAAAGATTTTTGTAATCTCATGAACACTATTTTACCCTCACTATCAAGACAAAGTATACTAATGGGTGATCTTAACTACGACTTGATGGACCGTTTCGTCAACGAATTGTCTGAGTTCATGAATCAATATTCTTTTTATCCCACTGTAACCAAACCGACCAGAATAACTGAAAACAGCGCGACAATTCTCGATCATATATGGACAAACCTATACGATCGAAAACCTGTCAGCGCCATTCTAACCGATGCAATCTCTGATCATCTACCTGTAATGCAGTGCATGCCGATAGAACAAAAAACAGTTGAAAACGAAGATAACAGTTTTTCTCGATCATTTAATCCGACCAATATGACTAATTTTAGGACGTCATTAAAATGTATTAGTTTCTCTGTAGTGTATGAAAAGTCAGACCCCAACGATGCCTTTAGAAAATATTCTTGCCATGTTATGCCAGTTTTTAATCGCTGTTTTCCTCAAATTTTGATCAAAAAAACTAACAAAAAGTGGTATGATAAAGAATTATCAAAACTTCACAAGAAAAAACAGAAACATTACAAATTAGCCCTCATCAATAAATCGCAATATTCTAGGAATGAATACTTGGAAATCAAGGAAACTTATGAAAAAATGATATTGGCCAAAAATTATTACTACAGATCGCTCTTGAGTAAAACTAAAAAGGATCTGAAAAAATCGTGGCAAACAATGGATACCATGCTAGGTCGATGCAAATCTAAACTGTCAAAAGTATTTGTTGTGGGAAAAAAGGAAACGTGTGATCCTGTATTGATGGCCGATCATTTCAATGAACATTTTTCTACGATAGGAAAGCAAATGTCTGATAAATTCACTAATGATAATGACGGTAACTTCATGAAATACATCAAGGGCAAATCAAGTTTTTATCACTGTAACAGCCACAAAATACAAGCTATTATTCGAGCTTTTAGACCTAAAACCAGCTGTGGGCTTGATGGAATCCCCATTAAGGTTATCAGAGCAATGCCGTGAAACTGCATGCTCTCTCTAGCTCATGTTTTTAATCTTTCTTTGCAATCGGGACAATTCATTGATGAATTTAAAATCACTAAAGTTGCTTACTTACTGTCGTCTTTTTCAAAAATTTCAGAAAAAGTAATGTACAATAGATTAGTTAACTTTTTAGAACAAAAGAGTTTTTCCTACCTTCAACAATTTGGTTTTCGCGAAGGACATACCACTTCGCAGGCTACGTCTCTACTTACAAGTAAAATATTGGGTGGATTTGAAAAAGGCCATCATACTCTCGGACTATTTCTTGGCCTATCGAAAGCTAGAGTTAGAGGCCACTGCCTTTCATGGTTCCGCAATCAACTCTTCATGTAAATACTGCGACTTAACAATTGGGGCCCCTCAAGGGTCGCCCATGGCGCCTATATTTTTTCAATTATGATTAATAACTTCCCTAAATCACTCAAGAACTCCGATGCTATCCTATTTGCTGACGACACCACCCCTTTCCTACAAGGGAAAAATTTACCAGACCTTATTAAAAAAGCGGACCTCCTGAGGTATGCGCACCGAGATGGCGCACAACCTAAACTCAGGTTGTGTACCAGGTTAGGGTTCAGGTTATGCAACATCTTGGTGCGCATACTTCAGGAGTGCCAAAAAAGCTAATGCGGACCTTACTAATATTCAATCTTGGCTAACTGCAAACAAACTAACAGTAAATGCGGAAAAGACCAAGTACATGATTTTCAGTGCACCTAGACAAAAACTACCCATCCTCAACAATGAGTTAATTCTGCAGTCCAAGTGCATCCAGAGAGTAAACCAAATTCGTTTCCCTGGTGTTTTACTCGATGACAAATTGTCATGGAAATATCACTCACAATTGGTACTCTCTAAAACAGTGTTTCCCAACCCGAGTCCGCGGTCTCAAATGAGTCCGCGAAGCGTTTGAATAAGTCCGCAATGAGAAATTCACTGCGAATCGCAAACGTTTTTGCCAAAGGTAACTATCAGCCAAGTTACGATTTATGTTAAAATTCACATAAAACGCAAGTTTATTCACATAACATTTTTCAAGTCAATTATTACTAGTTACTAAGTATGGCTGGGCATATATTCGAATATTCAACTATTAGAATAGCAATTCACTATTCGAAAATGTGGTAACAGGTGATGCGAAAGGTCAAAACGATTGGATTTCACAACTCTTGCGAATTTTTGACGAAAACACGAGCACACGCGTGGTGTTTCTCGCGAGTTCGAACAACGAGGAACAAATTTTTTCCTAGTAGGTGTCAAGGGTGCCACCCAAATTTTCTAAATCAAAAAGCGGCAATACCAAATACTGAAGATAAAACAGAAAACACCATAACTTTTGTTTTATGATTGTACGCGGCCGATTAAAAATGCTCTTCACACATTGCAAATCGCAAAATTTCGGGTGATATCGTAGTATATGTACCAGGGCATTTTTCTTAGGCCCCCACATTGGTACGTACAGTACTGGAGCGCCGTAAGTGTTGTGCGAACAGCTCAAATTTATTGAACTCACAAAAATACGGATCAAAACAAAATATAATCGGGCATTTTATCACACATTTTTGTGTCCATGGATTGTCATGATATGTTCTGATAGTAAAGTATTACTTTTATTTCGTCAACACAGCCGCAGATTTAAAAAAAACACGATCAAATTATAACGAGAATATCGGTCAGGGACCGAAGACTTATCGATCGAAAGTTAGGGGATCCCCAAAACAGCGCTCTCACTCCATAGTGACACATTTTGTCCCATCATTAATTAATTAATAACTCGCTAATTATACGACATAATTCATTTGAAATCAATAGGCTTCTGGTACGACATATCGTCACGCTAATAACCGAATTGCGTAAGTCATTTTTAGCAGTTTTGAGAAAAACGTAAAAAACTTCCTAATGATATTGCTATGCCATTGAGAGTCAATAATTTGCCATGGTTAAATTTTTTGATTGTAGCCGGATTTAAGTTAATTTGTATGACGCAATCATGTGACGTCATAATGGTGCACTGTGACTTAGGCAGAAATGTGTCTATGACTAGGGAACATACGCAATTTTGCAACTTGACTATATGCACCAGTCCTGAAAACTGAACAATCCAAAAACGAATGTAATTCTTAGTAAATACGATGTCTAATCCCCAAAATAGCTAATCTGTTTCAATTACACAATTTTTTATGTTCAAAAATATATATTTCATCAATATAACACGCTCTGCACATCCACCGAAATAAGATTAAAGTTGAATATAAAGAATAAACAGGCAATGTACCCTTACATAAAAGCCAACCAAGGTGAATTGGACTCAGACAGTGGATATCACAAGTGCACGCTTTCCTATACGGTAGTATAAAATGAAATTTGTAAGCGTTAAGCTAGAATCTGAGATGCAAAAACTCGAAAGTCCTTCGCCGAGGTTATTTTGCCTTTGTGATGTTACAATAGTCCTGCGTTAACAATGACAATTCATTATGGCGAAACAATTGAACAAATTTGCATATCATACAAAATCTCTATTTGTATGGGTTTCGGAATTCAGACAGGTTAACAGACAGGTGCGCAGCATTACATAAATACCTATTTTATGAAAAACTCAAAACTGCCAAAAATGACTTGCGCAATTCGGTTATTAGCGTGACGATATGATAAACGCACATGCAAAATCTGGAGCAGATTCAATCTTGCTTTCGTGAGATATCGCGTGCATCTAACAGACAGACAAATATTACCTATCAACATACTTAGCGATTGAAATCGATAAGTAATAAAGCAAGGCTCACCGGTGAATATGTATTTTTGATTTACTATTATATATACTTTAAATACATTTTTAATAAGCACTAAATCAAGTTGTACTTTCTGGAAATTTATAGCAGATAGTTAGGATTTTTCTAACGACTATAAAAATTTTGCAAGATCTCTAAAAATATGTATCGGGCAATATGTCAGCAGATTGCTGTGGCATATTAAAGAAGTAATGCTATCATCTTGTCGTAAGTCGAGGCAACTGCGAGTTACTATGAACCGGTATGTTAGTCGTTGCTATGAACCCAATTAAAATAAAAGGACATTTTAAATTCCCATCGTTGTCATGGATTGAATATAGTGCGACAGAAAAGACCATTATACACTAAAAAACAGTGGCGTAGCCAGGGGGGTGGTTTTGCGGGTCCGACCCCCCCCCCCTTTTGAAATGTAAAAAAAAATAAAATCAATTATCTGTATCATAAATAGCAATTTTCCTTAGCTTAAATGCTTTTTTGACCCCCAATACTACTAAAAACACTCGTATTCCAGAGTTCGATCGAACCCACTAGCTGTTTCGATCTAACTTGGCAAAAAAAAATCAGAATCCCCCCCTGCAAAAAAAAAAGACTCTTTTAACGGACGCGTAATTTCGGGGAATTCCCAATTTTGAAATTTGTTCAAATTTCATTGTGTTTGGTTTTATTGCTTCTTCACACAGAGTATGGTTGCAATAAACGCACCTTGAGTCCGCAAAGGTTTTCGCCGGTGAGAAATTAGTCCGCGACCAAAAAAGGTTGGGAAACGCTGCTCTAAAACAAGGACAGCACTCCAAAAGTCAATAAAAACTTTAATAAGTCATGCCTGTTAACATTATACCACTCATTAATAGAAAGTCATATACGATATTGTATACATCAGGGGTGGGCACACCGCGGCTCGCCAGACTTTTTGTGCGGCTCTTCTCGCTAACATAAATTATTATCCAAATTTTAACTAAGAGAAAAACTTTAATGTAAACTCTTTTAATTTATTAAAGGTCGTAAAGAAGTTTTCGTCAATAATTAGGACAAATTATGTTTTAGTATGAAAATCGCTGTATCGTTGAAGTTAAGTCAGTCGAGCAAATCTTTCGTCACAATGGTCAATGTTTATTGATGCGTCGGCGATATTGCAGCTTGATTGTGGTTAGTTAGTCTAAGTAAATAGTTAGTCTAACCAACACACATGCCCGTATTATCTATATAATTTGTGATGTAACAACGTGCTCACGTCGGTTCTTAGCAGTAATAACATTTTACATTTCATGTGCGCCGCGTTTGCATTGTTGTATCCAATTGAATATTTTTATAGGCTGTACACCTTTCGTATACCCAACTTATGTATACTTAACTTAACTTGGGTATACCCGGTTGAAGAGCACTGGTCTAAGTTACTGTGGGATGTGTCCAAAATTAAAAAAACAAAATTACGAAGATGAAAACAGAGTTGTCAGATTTGCCTTGTTTATCTATTTATTGTTATTAGACTCTTGTGTGAA